TGGATACTGTTTTATAGTTTCAATAGTCAAATATTTTCAGCTCAGTTCATCTTTTTTCAGTCATTAAATCCATTAGTCTTCATTTCTTTTTTAAAAAAATGATAAATACATTAACCCTGTTTTTCAAATGTTTCCATAGTCTAGTCCAGTGATGGCGAACCTTTTAGAGACCGAGTGCCCAAAAACCACCCTGCCCCCTGTCCCACCCCCACGCCATCCCCTGCCCCGTCCACCTGCAGGGCCACCCACCACCTCCATGGCCCATGCAGCTGATAGCCCAGGCAGCCCAGTAGCATCATGTCAGTCATGCTCTCCCCCTGCACCCTGCAGCATCATCTGCGTGCAATGGGGCGTGAGGGTGGAGTCTTGTCCCCGCTGCCTGGCTGCCATGTCCTTGGCTGCGCTGCTCTGCACGGGCTGTGCCCGGGGTGAGTCTCCTCCAGGGGGGCTGCTGGTGAGGGGGCCACGGGGGGAGGCGGGACTGGAGTGACGGCACGCGTGCCCACAGAGAGGGCTCTGAGTGCCCCCTCTGGCACACGTGCCATAGGTTCACCACCACTGGTCTAGTCTAATCATAATAAAGCTTTTCGGATTCAAAGAGCTGGAAGTAAGAGAACTAATGTGCTCTAGAACAATCTTTATTTTAGTAGGTCTACCATATCTTGCCTACAAAAATCTTATTACCACAAGATGTCAACACACATTTATGTTGTATAGCATTTTTGTTGCCATCCATTGGTTATCTGGAGTTTTGCAGGCCAGATAATTAGCTGTAGTGTTACCCTCTTCCTTAACATATTTCTGCTTTAAAAAGACTGTATTGTAAATGAGATTTACAATTTACTGTGCTGTATGTTTGGAACTTTTTTATTGTTTCAGCTGTTTTTTATGTAAACTAACTAAATTTGTGATGTTTCCCCAGACATTTGTCTTCCAATCAAACAGATGTATTCATGGATATGTATCTTGTGTGTTAGGCCAGGAGAGTGCTGTATTTCAGATTTTTGAACAGTGTAATTGCTTTGTGCTATGGAAGATTGAAAAAAAAACCCTTTCCATTGAAAATCCTTCATTCACTGCATTATTTGAGATAAAAGGTTCATGGAACATATCTTTGATTTGATTAGTGCTTCTCTTTTTTATAGTATGAAGGCTTTATTTTCTTACAATGCAGTTTTCTAAACAATCAGTTTCTATAGTCCTATGCAAAACCCTTTTGTGAAATATTAAAATTAGACTTACAGAGCTACATTTAAAATGAACTAGCATTTCTATGCAGAACTGGAACTTTTCTTACAATAAAATTTCAAGATGGTATTGCTTCAAACAGAACTCATCCCTTATAGTGTGTTCCTTTTTCCTGCGGGAAATAGAATGCAATATTGTAGCCACTAGAAAGTTCATAATCAAAGCTATTGTCTAAGTTGTAATTGTGTAACAACCTTTGTTTTATACATCTTTTATACTGCTAGTTACAACACTGCTGCTTTTGAATGAGAGTAAAATTTACTATTATGTTTCCATCAGAGGAAACATATTTACCTCATAATATAAAAACATGCATCAAGAGCCCCAGATCCTCAATAAGACCTACTAATCTACCCATACAAGATTTTAGTATATTACATAGGAGCTCCTACATAGGAGAATAATGTTTCACTGTGCTAGTGGAAATATATTATGTGATACTAGATTTCATCTGGATAATCTTCATCCTACTGGGGAATCTGTGTGACTGTGACATTTTCTAAGGAAATGTATGAATAATGAATAGTAAGTTGCAAATGAATAACTAGAAAGTACATGTAGTGTTAAGCATTCATGGTTGTGTCCTGCTTTGTGCTTCCAGAATATTAAGGAAGTTAAGAACCTATTTTAACTTTTCCTAACCTATTTTCCTCTAAGCACCCTCAGAATACAATTCCCCACTGGGTAGGAACTCTGACTAAGGGTTGAACTCTCAACTCACAGAGCGATCAAGAGGTTGGGAAAATCTTTTTGCTGATGATGACACTGGACATTTTTACAATTCCGTATATGCTGGATTTTAGGAGAAGGAACAATTCTCTGCTTGAGAATTCTCTATTAAGTAAGGAGAAAAGAATGTCTGATGTCATTACATACTTCTTGCTTATTTTTAGAATTTTGAAAGGCAACATTTGGACACTTCAGAAATATGCACATTCTTTGTACAAATTAATTTCTTGTTTAATTTTTTTTTCAAAATGTTATAAAATCAAAGGGTTACATATGCAGGATAGATATACATATTAATAATATCAGTCTGAGAAGATAAATACATTTTTAGCATATATTAGACTCCTGCCATATCATTCTCTGCAGAAACTTAACTTAATAATTTGTTACAAATTATTTCTGGCAATAGTAGCATAAGTATTTTGTTAATACGAAGATATATTTTGGCCTTCAGAATATTAAATGCTAGCAGCACTAAACATTTCTTATGTTAATGATTTAAGTATTAAGTTATATTTTATATAGCATTAACTACATAATTCTTTAAGGATATTATTAACTAAATAAAATGTATTACTTTCATAGAGCCACTTTGCCAGTTTCTTTAGCAATATATTGAAAAGTAAAACCTAATTCCATTACTTTTTGACATGTATGTCATACCTGAGTGATTTCATTGTGGTCTGCAAAAACTCAAATATGTCATGAGAGTCTTGCTGCCTTGTTAATCAGTATTGTGCTCTTTGTTAGATGGATCAGTTCTTGAATATGTATGGTTTGGGCAATGGAATATAACATGCACATAGCAGTATAATTTTATTACTTTTACTATATGAGCAGTCTGCAACACTGCATAACCATTCAAAAGCTCTTTGCGCAATCTGAAATTCTCTCAAGAGAAATAAGCAGGAAATATGCTTTTAAAAGTCAGTGTCAGTTTCATCTCCAAAAGTGAACATTTCATATATTTTGGAGTGATTGAGAAGGGATGGAAAATATATATGCAAGGTGGGATATATAAATAGGCCTAGGGAAAACCACTTGTTTGTTTGCTTGTTTGTTTCATTCATTCATTCATCCATTCATTTCATTTTCATATTTCTATACCATCCATCTCCCTTAAAGAGGGATTCTGATGCACACTTCCCAAATTAAATTCTCAAATTAAAATGCAGTTTGGATCATCTCTGTGGTCTGCAGTGCAGCTTGTGACTCAAAAGCGACATATAGAAATTCATATATTTAGGAAAGTTTCTTAAAGAAACAAATGCCTACTATTAAAATGGTAAGTTGATGCACAGTTTATTGGAATTGACTTCCTAATGGAAAGGATGTGGACTAGCTATACATACTTCCAAATATGAACAAACCGTTGCAGAAGAATATCAGAAAACAGTAGCCAGGTGGAAGAAAACCTGATAAAATTAGTTTAGGGGTATTTTTTTTATATTCCTGATGCTGAGTTATTGTCTCCACAAGTATTGTCTCCACAAGTTATTGTCTCCACACTAAAAGTGATGTCACTTTGTTTTGCTGGGAAAGATGCAAAGCAAAGTGGCTAGCCATGCACGCGTATGCAGAAATAGCCTAGAGCAGCTTCCAGTGCAGTTGAATGATTCAGAAAGAGATGCTTGGTACACTCTTCCATGCATTAAGAAACACCTTTTTCAAAGGAGTGGCAGAGCCCTGGGGCTCTGTTTCAGATGTCTTTCCTCTTAGTGCTTACTCAGCCCTTAATGTGCAGTGTTGACTTCTAAAAAATCAAAATAGTTATCTAGGCTTTCTGCTTGACCTTATTCCTGTTTCTTCTTTTCTTTGATGTTTCTGTCAGAAGCATGTCTTAGCACAAAGCCAAAGCATAGATCTAATTAACCAAAAGCATCATGTAATTTTGTGATTATATTCCTTATTTTGCCTTGTTTCCTTTTATTCATTTCTATTTCCCTTCTCACAGAAAGTTTTCCTGAAAAATATTTGTTGTTACTTGTTCAGCCTAATATAATTCAGGCATTTCATAAATAATGAAAACACTGTTAATGAAACTTAACCTTGGCATATGGTTTTTTCTTTAATCTTTTGCACATTGTGTTTGTGTTTTTAATATGCCTATTTGTTAGTTAAAGTTGAGTATATAATCATAAGCAGATATAACTATGAATGTGGAAGGCATATTTCAAGATCATGTTTATAACTGTAATAACATATTTCATAAAAAATTGGCATGGTATTATTAAATACTAGCTATTTTGAATATTTCTGTTTTTCTAGGAATAATGTATATGTTAGCTTTTTTTGAGTGCCAAGTAATTGCTGTAGTAGAAATAACAGTAAAGTATTAATACACTTATCATAAATTGAAATGAAATGGGCTAAGGGAAATATAAAGAAACTAATGGATATTTAGAAACTAGAGACACTCAGCTCTCACAACTTAATTTGCTGAAAACATTTGCACAATTATAGTCTAAAAATCTGTAAGACATTATAGCTATTTGCTGCCTGCTTTTAGCTTCTAGATTGGAAGAATAGACACCTCACACATTTTTTCTTAAATTATATTTTTTTAATATTATATGTAGAATGCTAAGCATATCCATGCTCTAAAGTGTACAAAAATAGAAAGAATTGGGGAAAGTATGCTTCATTTCAAATTCAGCCTACAGATTTTTCAGAAGTAGAGAGCTAGAACTGAATGGATTTTAGTTTTATAAATCCTGTCACTTGAATGCTTGCGGGAAATTGATAAATTAATTTAATAGACTACTGCATTCACAAAAAATGTTTGTATATACTTATAGATGTAGCCATAAATAGATAGACAGAGAGACATATTCACACCTCAGACTTGTGAGAATTGCTATGTAATGTTTAAAGACTCAGAGTAGATCAACAAAGTTTGTAAAAACTTTTTGTGAGTTGAGTTGAAGCTTGTAAAATACTTAATGTCTGAAAAAGCTTTAATAGCAATTTCCTAAGAAATAAATTCATAACATGTTAGTCATCCATTGCTTCTATTTTTACAGGTTTTGAATCATGAGTGACCTAGGTTTTCTGTGATGCCACTAGGAGCTTTTTTCATTGTGGAATGGACTGACAACAGAGTCTTGGAGATTGGACAGCAGACTTAAGAAAACTCTGGAGCAGTGATCCCTACTTTCTTTTTATTGGACAAAAATACTCCAAAAGAAATATCTCTTTAGTACCACCTGCAATTCCCGCCCTCCAATTTCTGCCACTTTGAATGAAGACAAGACAGTATTGGCATATCTTTCTGATTTAAAACATATCACCTTCTGAGACAGATGGTCTGTCGAATGCTGTAGGATGCCTGCAGAGAACATCATAATGAAGAAGAAAATGGATAGTTGTGCCACTGCCTAATTGTCAGGATCACAGCCGATAAAGCTGCACTGCCCTTTCCCTGCTGCCATAATAGGGTCATGAACAGCAGGGTGGACATGGCTGGCCTTGTTAACAACTTGCTAATATTGTTCCTTATTTTTCAAAACAGCTGTTGGGCTTTCAGAAGCCCTCTTTCTGTCTTTAAGAGGTGAGTGATTTAGAGACATTTTGTGTTATTTATCAGTATTTGCTGCTTCACTTCAGAGTCAATGTTGATAAATGTGTTACATGATTTAAACAATAGCCTCTAATGGTAAACAACAATAAACTCATTTAGAATTTAGTTGCTTATGCTAGTCACTGAATGCTTGAAATGTTCATTGAAATGTTCACTGCTTTTCCTGGGTACGTAATTATAATAACAGTAGTTGAATTATAGTTGAGTAATTTTTTTATGGAAACTTGTGGTGACTTTTCTTCCTCTTGGGTTTGAATAGCTCTTTTAAAGGTTTCAGGCCATCTATAGCTTGTTAGATTAATCTTTTGTAACATATCTGTTTCAGGATGAATTCTTAAAACAAACTTACTCTTTTTTTCTCCTTTGTAAGACATTATGGTTATATGTGCAATGTACATATGTATGTATATATGTATGTATATATTTTATATCATATCGAGGATCTGTTATTATTAATTTGAAAATGTATTTCCATGTAGCTGTCTCTAGACTATTCCGTGTAAAAATTATGATTAAATTGATTAGGCAAAAGCTAGAGGTACAAGAGATTAAACAGTAGTTTGCTAGTATACTCTGTGAATTGAAATTCAAGCACTTTTTCTTAGACTTTTCAAACTTTACACTAGATACAGATAGATGTTAGTATTTGAATTGGCATGATAATGCATTATGCATAAATGTATTGTAATTGGTTAGTGTATTATTGCAACATAAAATTTATTTATTAGTACATTTATAATGTTAACTTGATTAACTAACAGATCAGAATTTTAATAATTTGTAAGCTTTCCTCTCAAATTATACCTTTCTCCTTTCCAACTATACATGGCAATCTGTACATCTGTTCATGGCCATAATATATTAGCTAATAGGTGAGCTGGTGGCTAATCCATTTTGCTATAAAAGTGATATTTTTGAAGTTTGAAAACAGTAACGGGAGTTAATAGAACATCTAGATAAATCTTACAAGCCAATAAAATATGTATTTAAATAACAAGTATCATTATAATGTTCAAATTTCATATTAATTTTTAGGTATAAAGATGCTACTAGATCTAATTCCAATGAATGTCTTGGTAGCACCAGGCAGCTGGTTCCACTAGGTTTATCAGAATTTGCACTGGATATTCGTATGCCTGGAGTGACTCCTAAAGAGGTAAAAACAAATGGACAATACTAACTTATACCTTATTTATCTTCAGAAAATAAAATCATTAAGAGAATGAATTGCATGATTTGGTACATCTCTTTTGAAACGACTTCAAGACAGATTTCCCAGGGAGCTGATTATTGTCATAGTTGCTGTTATTGTTTTCAGGGTTTGTTTTCTGGGGTCTCTGAAAATAGAGAAATTACAATATTAATTAAAAGAACAAGTTTGTTTTGGTGGCTTCTGAGCAATTCTACATTTATATTGTACAATCCTGTATTACAAACATTGAACGTTTTATACAGTAGTTCTAGCCAAGATAAATTTGCTCCAGGCAATTGTTACAGTATGTCTCCCATCAACTGTGTAATCTGAGCATGCCCGTATAACCAACATCACATATCAAATAACAATATTGGGCCTAGCGATGCAAAAATGTGTGTTATATACTTATTTAAAGGGAATATTAATACATACTGAATATTATTGAAACTTAAATGTACAATTACCAAACACCTTGTTACAGCTTGAAAAAGTTGATTAGATAAATCAATGAAGTGTCAGATAACTAATATACTGCTGTTACCAATAGTATAACAGTTAAGTTAGAAGTGCTAACGGGATAGTTATAAGGTTGAAGGGAGATTGCTAAAAATATGACAGGCAGTTCTAGAGGCTAATAGAAGTATTGGGAGTGTAGGGACACTGAATTGGTAGTGAAAGATGATAGTGAAGAGTAAGTAAGGATTTTAAACAAGAAAATATAGTGCAAAAGAATTTGGTATAAAGGAATGTTAAGGAATTTAGAGCTAATTTAGAAAAGCTATAATAAAGCCATTGAGGGGGAACTTGGACAAGGGATTATCCAGACCAGAAATTTATATATTTATTTATTGGATTTCTGTGCCTCCCGTCTTACTAATGCAATGATTCTGGGCATCTTACAATATAATAAAGAGATAGAAGGAAATAAGATAAAGAAACTCAAGATAAGCCTACCTTGATTTTGCTTAGTATAAAATGAGACAGAAAAATTATAGGCTTTTAAGATTCTGTTATATTCTGCACAATAAAGTAAGAATTCTGGAATCCCTGTAGTATCTATTTCATGACATGGTCTTTCTCAGAGGGCCAATGGAGAATTAAATGTGAAATATGTGTCAACTATTTTAGGGAAGTGATTGGAACACAAACAGGACACGTACAATGTTGTCTATCTTACTGGGAAGTTCAGAAGTTGTCTTCTGTGACAAGCAGCCATGTTTAGAAAAGGTCCTACATCTTGGCCCTTAGATGTTTATATGTTCTAACAGTATTTCCTGAAATAAGTGATTTTTTTTTGTATCTGTTTGTCGGAACAATAGTAATATGAAATTGGATGAACTGTAGAGCACAGAAAAAGTATGTGGTGTCTGTTAGTAAAACATGAGCAGAACTCAGGAAAGCAAAAATGTGTGAGAAAGAAATTAAAGCAGGGCTTTTAAGATTCTTCATAATACCCTGTAGCAATAAAATGCTACTATTTGGGGGTTATTATTTTGATCTGGCCTATCCCAAAGGGCTGATATCAATCTTGAAAGTCCTGACAACATTTCTCTTTTCCTCTCTCTTATACCAAAAAAAATTAAAACAGAACTAACTTTAGTTTCTTTCTCATGCTTCCCCCCGCCTTCAGGCTTATATTTTTTAACAGTCATCACATACCTTCACTAATGTCATCTCTGTAGAGGAAGAAGAGACAGTAAAGGAGTTGCTAGTTTCATACAGAAGGCTATATCAACCCAAATTGAGAGCCAGTTTGGCCTACTCGTTAAGGCAGCAGGCTAGAAACTGGGTGTCTGTGAATTCTACTCCTGTCTTAGGCCAGAAAGCCATCTGGATGACTTCCCCCCCCCCAACTCACAGGGGTTTTGTGAGAAAAATAGGACGAGGAAGGAGTATGAGGTATCTTTACCATCTTGAGTTATTTAAAAAAATAATAAAGGTGACATAAAAAAAAAATGTCAAGTCTTCTGTGGGAACAGGTTAAAAAATATTTAAAAGTCATAGTTGAGGACTGACGTGCACCCGACATAAGCTCTAAATTCACACAACATTGTAGCTTTTAGTGTCTAGAGTACAGTTAACAGAATATAAGTTCTGTGTTGCACAGGTAGTTTTTGCTACCAGCTGATTTAATGAATTCAACATCTGTCTTGGCAGTTATATTTAGAATAATCCTTTTTTAAATATTTACTTTAGAACACGTAAAGGAATTTCTAAGGATACATGGAGTCAACTTAGTTCTGTCTGTAACTCCTTGTTCTGTCAGTTCCAGTTAATTTGTAAGTGACCAGGGATATATGAGATCATTCCTACCTGAGGTAGGTCCAAGTCTTCTATGGTAGGCTTTTCAAGACAGAACTAAAATACTAGAGTTAAGGTGTACAAAGCAAACCTTAAAATTATCAAGTGAGAAGTTCATCACCAATCCATTTTGAACAATATGATTTAATAAACTAGTGTTATATTTTTTTTATTTGCTATTTTTTTGGGAAGAATACAGTAAACAAAATGTCCGTGTGCTAATGAATACATTTCACAAAACTGCATATATGGAGAGAGTAAGGAAGATGATCATAACACAGGTATGCAGGGTCTATTGCCTAGTATGGGGGTCCCCAACACCTGGTCCATGGACTATTACTGGTCCATGGACTATTGAGAACTGGGCCGTGCAAGTGATGGGCACGCGTGGGAAACTCCATATGCAAAACTGGTGTGCACATGCACGAAGGCATCCCCTCCCACCTGCCACTGCCGCCACCATCGCTGCCAGTCCACAGAAACTTAAGACAAAGTCACATTCAAAAGCATCTTGGAGAGAGACTTCTATAACTACTAAATATGTCTTTTCTGTAGCAGCTTTTCCCCCTCATACTGGGATTAGAAACTATATGACTTGGTGCCAGATTTTTGTTGTTCTTAATGTGTTTAGTTTTACAGTTTTATTATAATTTTATTTTGTTTTATACTTTTGATTGGCAGCTGCCCAAAGTTGGTTATAAGATGGGAGGTTATATAAATCTTTTAAATAACTAAAAATGAGGGGGAGGCAGAAGAGGAGGAGGAGACTTACAAGAAGACTTGTAAGATTTTTGCAAATATTGCGGGCTAACCAATTTCAGTAAAAGTAGTTATAGCTTTCCTGTGGACTTGATTTCCTAGTCTGGTCTGCCTAGTGGCCTGACAATTTGCTACTAGATTTTATGGCTGTGATTCAAAGATTTCTGCTGGTAATAAGCAGAATAGAAGTAGCTTTTCTGTCTCTTCAGGACTTGAGTCTAACAGATGGCCGAAGCTGTAAGCTTTGGCTATATAATACATCTGCTGGAAGTGCAAGGATAGCAGTCCTCTGTCATTCTAGTAGATGACCGCTGATAATCAAAACTGGCAGCTAATATGCAGCAGCATGTGAGATCCCGATGAAACAACTGGAATATTTCATGTATCATTGGACTTTGAGGTTTAGCAACAACAATCTGGCAGCTGCTGTGAAACTTACTTGCAGTATATTTTTACATTATAGCCTTTGTACAAATGCTGTCATTATTAGATCAGACTGTATAAACTGGTACCTCCTGTTATTGAGCCAATTACAAGTGATTTTGGTGTCCTAAATATTCATAAGGCAATACATTAAACTTTGCTACCAGTGCACCATTCAGTTAAGACCGACTTAAATATCATTAACCAAATACATATCTTTCATGAGTTATATGTAAAATAAATTGTTCGTGAAGATAATTCAACATTCAAATATGTGCTTAGAAAAGCTACAGTATATATAAATAGTTAAAGAACTATTATGTGTCTTGATTAGCTCACTCTTCCTCCCATGTCATGGACAACGAGCTTTATAGTGTAGAGAACCTCAAATAACACACATTTAAGAAGTGTGTTCTAAAGATCAACTCTGCATTACATCCAGTAAACATACATAGGACCATATTGTGAATTATTGTAGAAGTGTTTGTTTAACTCTCTTAATAGATTTTTTTTCCTATTCCCCTCCCCCCCCCTCCGACCTTTAGATTTATGACAAAAAATTCAGCAATAGAAAAGATGAGTCACTGCAGTTAGCTCATTCAGAAACAGAAGAAAAGCAAGTGATCTAGTTATTGGGGATCATTTCCTGGAAACTATGATTAGAACCAGCTGTTTCAATCTAATGGCTAGGAAAAAAATGTAAAGCAAATACTCAGCTAAAATGGTCCCTACTGTAGGCAGTTTTTTTCCTCCCAGAAATCGAAACACACAAAAGAATTTGCAGGTGTATGAATGTGCTGCCAGGTTGAAATGTGAATTACATAACAAGTCTCATTTTAATAAAGCTGAGGTTTCAATTTATGATTAGAACTAACTTTTTAACCTCCTCCAGTCTTGTGAGTAATTAGGGCAAGTCCTCTCAGGAGTGGAAGGATTTACATGAGTCTTATAAGAGGCAATGATTGAAACAGTGTGGTTGTGGCCATCTTAGTCACCCCAAAACAGATTGCACTCTTCTGGGAATGCTCTGCTTTGCGAGGTTATTCACCCTAACCTCAGCTCTTTAATAAAGTAAGGGATTATGATAAGTACAGTATATACAGTGGTGTGGTAGATGGCACTGTGCAGCAAAATAAGTATTAGTAACAGAAGTTATTTTTAATCATGTTGGTTTTGGGGGGGTTAATCTTTGAGATGTCTAGTTAAGAATTTTGATACACAGATTGCCTCTCTCAGCTAGTTCATTCTTATTTTTCAGGAAGAAGAACAGATAGTGAAGTACAGATAGTCCTCAACTTACAATGATTCATTTAGTGACCATTCGAAGTTACAACAGCACTGAAAAAAGTTACTTATGACCATTTTTCACACTGATGACTGTTGTAGCATCCCCATGGTCACACGATCAAAATTCGGAGGCTTGGCAACTGGCATGTATTTATGACAGTTGCAGTATCCTGAATGCATGTGATCATCTTTTGCAACCTTCTGACAAGCAAAATCAACGGGGAAGCAATGATTCACTTAACAGCCATTTTACTAACTTAACAACTGCAGTGATTCATTTAACAACTGTGGCAAGAAAAGTAATAAAAGGAGAGAAACTCATTTAACCACTGTTTTGCTTAGCAACAGAAATTTTGGGCTCAGTTGTGGCTGTAAGTTGAGGTTTACCTGTAAAGATCTTCAGTGATAAAGGATCTTCAAAGCAGCGATATAATTTAATAGATTCATTCTCACCATAATTATGTTTTGGCATTTGCTTAGTTAAAAAAAATCATTGGAATGTTATCTTTCACTCAGTCAACTGCTTGTTCTTACCATCATTTAGTTTTATGTGTAAGAGAGAGAGAGACAGAGAGACCAATAAAGCTTTCTCATTTTTGTCTGTAAGAAACATTGATTATAAAAAGCCCTGCTGGCATGAAAGGAAATTGGGAGGTTTAATTCCTTGATCACCTAGCAAGTCTGCCCGAGAGCAATGGTTTTCTGATACTAATGGTTTCAGGAAAAGTGATCATTAAGGAGGGCTACTGGAAGAAAAAAGTTTTTCTTTGAAACAACAAACCTTTTTAATTCTTCCCAGTATCCACTATGGACGGCTGTTAAAAATGGAAAGTCAGTCATGTGTTCTCATGTCTCCAGTGGATCACCTTGATAAATATTAAATGGGACTCTTCATGGCATTGTGATTTGCAATTGTCCAGAGCATATTAGATTGAGGGCTAATTGTAGATTGGAGTTTAATTCAAAATACACTTCAGATGTACATATAGATGTTGAATGCTTTCTGCTTCTTCTTAGCCACAGTTGAATGTGATATGGAAAGAGAAGCAAGTTCAACATATTTATTAAATTTCTTTCTCATCCTGTTGCTTAAAGCAAGAGTAAGATTGTGGTAAACCTTCTGTAAACAGTCCAGCTAGTGAATTCAATATCGAAGAAACTCTATGGTCTTGACGTGCCATAAGAGATAAACTTTATTGAATACACATCTGGCACTGAAGAAGCAAAATCAACTCTTAATTTTCCCATGCAAAAATCTGATTAGTTAACAATAGCTTTTCATAGCCTCCACCCACCAAATGTTCACCTTGCCCAATCACATCTCCTCGGGTTGTTATGGGAATAATCCACTTCTCAGTCAGACACCTGCTTTTGTGACCTTGGGTCTCACAGTCTGTGGACGGCTTCTTGAAACTGTTTCTTTCCCAGGCTCTCCCTCCCCTCTGTTTATATGGCAAGTTGAGTGGCGACAGAGGTTAGCAAGCATCTTAGCAATTCCACCTTGATGTCTTCATCTCAAAAATTACTATTCTTTTCTTGCCCAAAGACTATAGAATGTGGAAGCCTTTGCAGCGCATTGATATTCTTGACACTGTAAAGCTGCAATATTTAGAAGTATCCACATACCTCTACAAGGGATGGAACTTTCATCATTATTCTAGTTTTATCATTTCATCAGATTTTGTGGACACCTCTTTAAGGGACTTCTGTAAATGAATCTTTTAGGATTTAATCCGACTTTCACCATATTTAGCCTTCTAGGTAGACTTTGTTTAATTTTTGTGGTTTGATGGAAGTGATATGACACTGAAAAATACAGCATCTATTATAATCTGTGAAATATTGACAGAATTCAGACTGATAAATATGCTGGTGCATTAATTAAAGGGTTTAATTAATTAGAAGAGAAGTCTCTTCCATTGTGATGTAAGATATCTTAAAGAATAAGGAAAACCTTAATGTAGGTATACCTCTAGCAAAGGTAGAATGATATTTTCTTGCATCAACCTTATAATTGTACTACAGTTCTTTGCTGTCAGTTCAGAGCATATGATTTGCATTTTACATTTCAGTTTTATCCTGTTATGTGATCTGGGGTATAGAGCTAATATAATTTTAAGGCATATACAGTATATAACTGGAAAATGAATCCTTTTGAAACTAATTTATATGGTGATAATATATGAAATTGGCTGTTTGAATTTAAATTGTACATGACCATGATGTAGTTTTCATGATACATAGAAATCATAAGTTTGGCAATAAATATGCTGCTTATATAAGCTAAAATAATGATGATGATGATGATGATGATGATGATGATGATGATGATGATGATGATGATGATGATGATGATGATGATGACGATGACGACGATGACGACGATGATAGCAATAAAAATGTGATGAGGCCCAAATAAATCATCTTTCCCAAATCTATAGCATCATGTAGATGAAAGATAATTGTAACAATCATTTATGGGGCGAATACAGCATTCATAACTATAATTTGGGGTACCTGTAGTATGCATCTTTGTCTTCAGTCTTCAATAATTTATTTTTTCTTAGTTATTAGACCTTTTGAAGAGCTTTTTACCCAGACTGCCCTTCTTTGTGGGATCCATATAAAAATATGTTAAAGCAACCATACCATTAGCATCTTTGAATTACCTATGATTTAATCTTTTGATGTTAAAATAATCTTCGGATGCTAAAAACAACTTTTTATACTGAATGTAGAGGGAGAAATGTAAGGAAAAAGAAATTTCCATTTTCATTATTCAGTTTTAATTATTTAGGTGATTGTGTTTTAAAGAAATTAGGCAATTCAACTTATATGTTTGCAACCACTCCCAAGCCATTAATATTTGCTTGTAGACTAAGATATGAAATAATGACAGTAGATTGCAGAGCAATTGACATTTTCATTGCTCATTTATTTTTGTATTAATAGGAGTGTATCCATTAGCAGGCATGACTGTCAGCCCCTGACAGTTTGAAAGATAAAGAGCAATGAGTCTTTGTACAATCATTAAAGTTCTCTCTTCATGTAAATTATTTACTTCGAATTGATGAATTAGGGAGAATTATACTGGAGTAAATTGTTTATTTATGCACTTTGGGAAACTAGAAAACAACATATAAGTTATTTGAAGTTGCCACTCTGAAATAGAATATAATAAAGAACTGCAATTATATGATCAGTCTATGTATTTTTACATCTGGAAGTATGTGTATGGAAAAGTAACAGAGGAATTATGTACTTTTGCATATGATCAACATTTTTAGATTTTTAAATAAATAAACTCAGGAAAACTTTATTTTAACCAAGGAAATGTACATTATATAAAATAAATAATGAACTTGGTTTAGCAATTTGGAAATTGAAACTTAATATCTGAAGATTCAGATAATTTTAAAAATGTTCAGTAGAAAATATAAAACTATGAAATTAAATTATAACAATATATTTCATTTTGTTAGAAAATATTGTTTATTAAAAGACATTTAATGCAAGGGATTATGATTTTATGAAGCATGATTTATAAACTGCCATTTAGTATTAACAGAACTCTTACAAAATATAGTTGCAGTAATATTGTCAAACAATCTGTAAAAGTTATGAAATATCTTGCTGCTGCCATTGTCATTATTCATCAATTATTTTCCTTGTACATTTTCTTTGTTTAGAAGCAAAAGTTGATTGTATTATAGAAAACTAATACAGTAATATATGGAGGGAATATATTATTGCTGGCTATGTCTTCTGGGACCATTAAAATAATCAGTTCAGGATTGTCATGTTCTAGTATGCAGTGACTGTTGCTAAACCATGTCTGGTTTAAATAATTTTCCCAGCGCTTACAATAGAAAGTATTTTATTGATTAATTTTCACTGTTGCTGACACCATTAAAGGTTTCCAGTTTATATATTCTCTGTACAGCTTTACCTCATTATTGCTTGAAAAAAAGTAGATAAAGTACAAAATGGTAGGTTAAGAAGATGTATTTTGGTTTGAAGCACTATTGATTTGAATATATTTGAAGTATATATATTCAGAAAGCTTTTGAATTATATTTAGTTTATAATGCAGCATTATTTTGACTTGTCTACATTTATGTCCAAATATTTATATGGAAAATTGCTTTTTAATGAATTGATTGATTATATGCCATTAAATGCTTTACAGTCTATTACAATATGATGCCTACCTTTCCTTGTCATAATAGAAGGATATCTGCTTGCTTAGTCTCATTGCAGAACTACAATACTAACTGCTGCAGGTATAATCTGACATCACTTCACCTGGATGTTTAATATTCAGTTAAACAGATGAATATTACTGCATATGTGATGTGGGCTTGTTGCCTGCTTCTGGAATTGGCTTAATAGTGCGGTTGAAAAGGATAATGCCGTAAAGTATCGATTCTAGCTTTCATTGATTAATGTAGTTGGATTTGGTATATTCATGTATTATCCCTGGTCAGGTAAAAAATAACCAAAGGTATTATTAGGTAGGGAATTAAAAGAAAGATGTGTTTTATCATTTTGTCAGCTAAATTATTTTTATTATTTGATTATACTTCAAAACAGTTAGAGATACTATTATTTCTTCTTGTATTTTTAACTTTTGAAGAAAAAAGCTCTAACATTTTACATACTCTATTTTTTCTGTCCTTCCATATAGTCTGATACTTACCTTTGCATGTCGCTGCGTTTGCCAGTGGAAGAGGAAGCTTACGTAGGTAAGTACTATTTAAGATTCAGAAAAACATGGTCAATTTTATATGAATCAGTCAAGGTTTCTGTGGCTTCTCTATAGCTTAAGCTTTTCCATAGAGTTGCTGCAATGCATTCATCATGCCTAATACGGAAGCAAAACTAGAAGGAACCACTTAAGGTGGGGAGAACTGCATCTGGAGAGATTGGTGAGTAATAGTACTTAAGGAGCTTCATGTAGATGCCTTTGGCAGCTGAGCCCAAGCATTCTCATTTGTAAAGCATTGGCTTTCTGTCTGTGGCTGGATATTTAATTCCACTCCATTGCACAAGCTGTTTATTTACCTGCTAGTTCAGGCTGTAAATCTCTTTGCACTTACAATAAGCATTGGCACAGTAAGATCTTACCTATCTGCAAAATGTACTTGCTTTATGTTGAGGCAAGGATGAAATGACGGGTAAATGACAAGCACTGTATCAATGTTTAATTTACTAGATCAGTGAAGTAAGTACCATCTGCTTATCAAGTCGATTCCATCTTAATTTTTATTTCATTCCCCTTGCAAATATTTACACCTACTAAGAGTCAATAGTAAAATGGAAATTTATAACAGTCAGAATGCAGGAAAGTGCTATTTGTAGTTTGAAAATGTATTGGTAAACTTTGAGCACATTTTAAGTAAAGTGGTTGATAAGTGCTAAAATTTTAAAATAGGGTTAAGAGTGAAATGATGCTGTTTTCCTTGCAAACCAATTGAACAGTAAAACCTGTAGAAAGACATTTTTTGTAAAAAAAAAAAAGAAAGAAAGAGAGATGAGTGTCTAGAAATAAGAGATATAAATAAATAATCCTATTATTTTAAAAGTTTTAATTGTATAGTTGCTAAATTATTATACTATGTGTGGAGATTTAAAGAATATAATTTGGGCTACAGGGACCATAGGTTTGGTAATGCAATGAAGAATGATTACTTTTTTTTGGTCTTTCTTTAAAAAAATTGCTTTTATAAAAAAAAATGCCAACAGGTTGTGCTATGATTTATTGGTAATAGTTTGTGTATGTAATATATAATATATATAGCTGCCAAGAAAAAAATTGTCATAGACCTCAATATAGCCAGGAAACAGGACCTTTCCCACCCCCGGAGCCCCAGGCCTGGACACAAAGCCAAGTCTTCAAGCCCTTATGAAAGGCCAACAGGGCTAGATGATCCTCAATCCTGAGAAGAGAATGTTGCAGAAGGCAATGGCTAAAGTAGAGAAGATACCTTTCCTAGTACCCCTAACTAAGATTCCTTGCCCAACTTGCCGGACAGAACTGGATGAATAAAAACTACTGGGGGAAGATGATCCCTTAGGCAACCTGGTCCCAAACTATGAAGGGCTTTAAAAGGAACAACCAGCACACAGGCAACAAAGACAACTCACACAGAAGTGATATTACATGTGCTGAATATTTGACACCACCTGTGCATCCACATTTTGCCACATTATTCTTTGAAGGAAAAATAATAATAATAACAGCAACAGCAGCAATACAAACATTGAGTGAACATTGTTATCTTAAAAGGGATTATTTTATTAGACCCATAGCAAGGGGGGCAGAATGCTACATGTTCAGGAGAGAATTTAAAGGTTAGGGCCTGGAGATCTCAAACCAATTAGAAAAGATATAGTTGGGTCTGATTCAATATAAAGCACCTTTGTTTATTTGTAATTTCTGTTCTCTGCATATTCTCCAGAGTCTGGCAGGAAAATCCTTTAGAAATAGTACATTTCATTTGGACAGATATATGGTGGCTGTCAAACTGTTAAGGGGCATTTGTATTTTATATTGAAAATTATTAACACTAAGAAGAATAGAGTGAATCTTGAATACGTTAGGATTAAATCCATGAATATTTCTATGAATGTTAATATCAGTGACTGAAATATATTGCTTAACCACAGTGGTGAGTTTAAATGGGTCTTGATTATATTTTATTTCCCTGTGTTGTGTCTAGGCTGAATTTTAAATGTTTTCTATTTCTACAAGCATCCCTATATTCATACAAAACCCCATTACAATTTTAATTTAAGATAAAAGTGCTTTAGATAACAGTAAATAATTACACTGAGTATCAGACGTCATAGAGGTGAACTGAAAACTATCAAATTGCCCAATATTCTATCCTGTGCCTTAACCAGTAGACCAAATTATCTATTATCTTAATAAAATATATATCTATTTTTCCAGTAATAGCCAATTAACTTTTTATGTTTTGTTAAAACTGGAAACAGTCATATAAGGCAAAACTGGCACTTAAAAAAGATAAAAATACTCTATACATAAAGGTAAGTTACCAAATATGGTTTTAATTCTTTGCTGAGAACACATAATTGTATTGTGTGCCTTTCTTCCACAGAGTTTTGCAGATATGGCATACAATTAACTGCATTTGTGAAAAACTGTTATTTTTCCATTTAACATTTTGATATTTAATTACTTTATAAGGGCAAATCCTAAAGCTAAAATGAATTTTGTTGTACTGTGCAGGTCTGTACAATGTGTTGTTTATTATTGAACTATGGTGATAACTAAAGGCCATTCTACTGATGTTGAGAAATATTATGTCTGAAAGCAAGCCATTCTGCCAGTGCCAAAAAATGTATTTGCCATTCTCTGTCCCTGATTTTAATGAATATGCCCAACACTACATAATATATTTTTCCCTTTGCTGGCTGATAGTAATCCCCATTTGTCAACAATACCATATAAACTGTACTATACAGTAGATGAGAAGATGCATTACCTGTTTATTTGAATTTACAGCTGCAGAACTGTTGCGATAGAAATCTTACTGCAGATTGAGATTACCTTTTCTTGAACAAATACATTTACTTTAGTAATCTTTAATATACACACACAAACATACATATATATAGATAACGTATATACGTACTTTGGTGGGAACAATTTATGATAATTTTTGTAACATGTAAAAATGAATAAAGTTATCTGATGTATAATTCTTAATTTGGTAAAAAATAGACCTCAAAGAAATTATGTACATGGAGAATTAAAAGCAATTGAACCTCACCATTAAAGTAAATAAGAAACAAATGATATGTAAATTATAGATACAAAAGGAATCAGCTCAAATACCTTTCTTGAGCTCTTAATATAAACCCAGTATTAGGATTTGTAGCAAAAGAGGGTCATATATAGTGTTATTAAGAAATCGTGGGCCCTCCATCACTGGAGGTTTTTAAGAAGAGACTAGACAGTCACTTGTCTGAAATGGTATAGATTCTCCTGCTTGACCTCCAAGATCCCATTCTATTCTATTCTATTCTATTCTATTCTATTCTATTCTATTCTATTCTATTCTAATTTTCAATCAAGATACTGAGTTGAAAATAATAAATAGTTTTACTAAGCCAGTAGTATTTCCTAAGTAAAATACAGAAATCACAATTTCTGAAATTCTTTCCAGCCTTTTAATTGCAGGTCTGATTTAGTTTATATGGTTTAGAAGTAATAAAAACATGTTACCAGATACACCCCTTTCCCCTGCTTCTTCAACCCCCCCCTCCCCAAATAATTTAATAGTGTTTCTCAGCCAATCTAAATTTCCTCTTGCAAATGCACACATAGCTTTCTGCATTGGTCAGTAAGATAAAAATAAAATGATGCTATTTTCTTGTTTCATGGTGTTCAAGTTCCCCCCCCCCAAAATGGATATGGATAGGGAGACAGATACACAGAGATACATAAAGTTTACACCTATAATTTTGTGTCATTAAAATTTTATATCCAAGTAGAAAAAATACACATAATATATATCTTATTTATTAATCAGAGCTACTGTACTTGCATATTTATTTCACAACTGAATTATTAATTTTAAGTCAATTTACTAAGCAATATAACAGTAGGATATTGCACCTATAAATCATGCAGGCCAAATTTTTAAATAATTCCCCAGCTGGGATTATAGGTGATCAAAGATTCGTTCAGGTATCAATTATAATGTGGTCCAATTCCTCAGTGCTTCTTTATAGCTTACAAAGAGCTACTGAGTTAAGTTCTTTAGACCATGAAATGATTAACAAACAACAGTCATTCTTCCAGCTTTGTATATTATTTATACAAAGGGACCTTGGAGGTCATGTAATCCAACCCCCTGCTCAGGTAGGAAACCCTATACCATTTCATACAAATGGTTGTCCAGTCTCTTCTTAAAAACTTCCAGTGTTGGAGCATTCACCACTTCTGGAGGCAGGTTGTTCCATTGGTTAATTGTTCTAACTGTCAGGAAGTTTCTCCTTAGTTCTAGGTTGCTTCTCTCCTTGATGAGTTTCCATCCGTTGCTTCTTGTTCTGCCTTCAAGCATTTTGTAGAATAGCTTGACTCCCTCTTCTTTGTGGCAGCCCCTGGGATATTGGAACACTGCTATCATGTCCCCCCTCGTCCTTCTCTTCATTTAACTAGACATACCTAATTCCAGCAACCGTTCCTTATATGTTTTAGCCTCCAGTCCCCTAATCATCTTTGTTGCTCTTCTCTGTATTCTTTCTAGTGTCTTTTTTACATCGTGGTGACCAAAACTGGATGCAGTATTCCAAGTGTGGCCTTACCAAGGCATTGTAGAGTGGTATTAATACTTCGTGTGATCTTGATTCTATCCCTCTGTTAATGCAGCCTAGCACTGTGTTGGCTTAATGACCCGTTGCTTGCAAGAGATACAGCCAAATGTAGATGACATCTTGTTTTATTCTTTCTGCAGTGTTTGCAGAAACAACTTAATGGTTTGTTAAATAAGAAAACAAATGTATATTTATATTATAATTTTTGTCTTTCAGTTGACTTTAAACCTCATGCCAGCATGGACACTGTCCACCATATGTTACTATTTGGATGTAACAATCCTGCTTCAGATAACGGTTACTGGTAAGGAGATTGTTCCATTTCACTGGTTAAATATTCTACTTGGTATTAACTTAAAAAATGGGCTGGTGATACATAGTGGAGAAACATGGAATGAATGTAAATTTAATTATAAAGCAAAGTTTACTACTAGCGTTTATTCCACTCTTATCCTTGTTGCCAGCTTCCCTATTCAATATAGGTAGTCCTTGACTTACAACAATTCATTTCGTGACCATTCAAATTTACAATGGCACTGAAAAAAAGTGACTTATGACCGTTTTTCATACTGTTGAAGCATCCCCACAGTCATGTGATCAAAATTCAGATACTTGGCAACTAACTCATATTTATGACAGTTGCATTTGCCCGGGGTCTTGTGATCACCTTTTATGACTTCTGACTAGCAAAGTCAATGGAGAAGCTACTTAACAACCAACCATATTACTAACTTAACAAGTACAGTAAAATAGGGCAATAGCAATAGCACTTAGACTTACATACCACTTCATAGTGCTTTACAGCACTCTTTAAGTGGTTTACAGAGGCAGTATATTGACCCCAATCATCTGGGTCCTCATTTTACTGACCTCAGGAGGATGGAAGGGTTAGGGTTAACCTTGAGCCAGTCAGGGTTAAACTTCAGGCAATGAGCAGAGTTAGCCTGTAAATACTGTGCCACCACTTAACAACTATCTCACTTAGCAACAGAAATGTTGGGCTCAACTGTGGTGATAGATCAGGGACTTACCTTTATGTCCTTATTGTATTTACAGTTGCTCAGTGAAGAAGGAAGAGAGGAAGCTTGCACATAAGGCAGACGGTATAGCAAACGTATGGATGGAGGGATTTAGTAGAGAGACGGTGAAGAATAAGGGAAAAAATCACCATTTCTTATAAGAAATTTGGTAGTGATTAATCAGTGTTGCATGGTCAACATTGCTCAGAGATACTGTAGGCAAAACTTCCCAGTTTCATTTGTTTTTATACAATGTCTATAGTTATATTACCTTTTAAAGTTGAAAAGCTTTGCATAGAAAGATTCCAAATTACATTAATAAAATGGTTATACAAAAATAAATATTCTAGAAAAACTAGAAATACATTTTTTCAGAATAATGGGAATGTATTTTTGATCCACGCTTTTTTGATTTTCCAAGCACAATACTGTCAGTGAATATATAGAGAAAGCATTCTAATACTTACTTAACTTAATCTTCATTTTACTGTAGTTATTCATATCCCAAGACAAAAATGGGCTGAGGGATTTTTTTTTTGTAGTGTATTTATTTCTTTTTTCTAATGGAAAACTATCAGTTTTACTTATTACAAACATATTCGTATTTTCCACTTCTATTAATTAAATAATAGAAAAACATATTTTGTTATTATCACAGTTCTAGTAATGAGCAACATGTAACTCACTATTACTGTAATTATTACTTATTTATTTATTTAATCCAATTTTGAAACTGCTCAACTCCTTAATGAGTCTGGGTCTCAAGTAAACTAGCTTTTATTATTCCCTAAAAAAGTGAGAAGTCTTAAGTTCCTGTGTTATTGTTTGCCATTACCTGGAGAGTGAATAATGCAAGCTTGTGAAATGTTTGCCAAGTTTTAATTTAAAAAGTTTTATTTGATAGGAAATAGTTCTTAAGAAAGAATATGTTCAAGTAATTTTCCATTTTTATATTATTAACGTTTATGCTAAGTTGGAGAGCCAGTATAGTATAGTGGTTAAAGCACTAGTCTAGAAATTGGTACTCTATGAATTCTAGTCCCACTTTAGGCACTAAGTCAATGACTGACCTTGGACAGGTCACTTTCTATCAATGCTAAGAAAGAGGCAATGGCAAACTATTTCCAAAAAAATGTTGCCAAGAAAATTTCAGGGACTGGTCAGGCAATCACCAATACTGACTTGAAGGCACTTCTGTACAAGTTAATATCACCAAATAAGTTAATAAAAGCAATGGTAAAACAGTGATATCAATTTTATAACCAAATGGCTATGTGGTTATAAGCCCTTATTCATTTACTAAGTAAAGTTATGAATTGTTCTGGTACTTTTAAAAACAGGTAAATGTGCAACTATATTGTTTCCATGACTGCTAGAATGAAATACATATGTATTATTGAACTGTAAATCAGTAAATAAATGGACTGATTTTATTCAGAGCATTCTTATAATGCCCACTCACGTAAAGGCTCAGGGCCATTTACAGAAATAGAATTACAAGAGCAGAAACACATTAAACATAAATTTTATAACATTAAAAATGCATTTCAGAAGTATTAAGACAGTTGAAGCCATCAGGAGGCACAGGAAACTAAGAGGTTGCTTGATTTCCAATAACTTTGTTCGACAACATGGATATGCCAAAGAGAAGGCAGAGTTAAGTGTAGATGTCAATTAAATCCACAGTAAAACGGCAAAAGAGGCTACATTGATGTTTTAAGAGTGTTGGATGAAGAGTTCAGGAATAGGCAGTTCTATAAGGAGCTTGATACTAAGCTGTGTGAGCATTTTATACTGTACATAATGATAATTGTGAGTTGGTCTTAGGAACCAGTGAAGTTGTTTGTACGTGGACATAGGCAAAACTTTTAGGAGGCACCAACCCTCACATATTTTGCTATGTTCTGGGCTAAGTGCAATTTCTGAGCCTTTTCAAGACTGTTTAATGCGTTACAATTTGTTCTTCCGATAGTGACAGAACTGGTCAAAGACTTAAAGGCTGTCTTTGTTACTGGTGATATATGATTGAAAGCATCATGCTAAATTCAGAACAAACTGCAGACTGCGAACCTGATCAGTAAGAGGAAATGCAGCTTTGTTCAGAATAGTAATTTACCCTGAGTCCCAGTCCATCTTATCCATTCAGACCCCTTCAATCTGGGCACATAGAAGCCTAAATGAAATCTAACCTCTAAATCACAGAAAAGGAAAAATATAACTGCCATCAGCACCGATGACTGCCTTCTCTAAACCTGTGAACGATTCTTTCCAATGGCTTTATACGGATGTTAAATGACATGGCACACAAGACAAAATCTTATGGGTCCCCATCTTCTGAATATGTTTGGAGAGATAGGAACAGAACTATCTCAAAGTATTACCACCAGACTCCTAATAGAAAAATGATGCAAGAAGACAGAGTTGCTCATGTCTAAACATGCTGAGTTTTAAGGCATATATGAGTTGTTAGTACAATGTTTTTAAAAGTATTCATTCTTTCGTATTTCAGATTGATTAGTCTAAATCAACTGATAAACTGATCATGTTTACTCGTTTGAAGTAAGGAGGGGAAATGTGCAATTTTTATCTATCCTCCCTCCCTCCCTCCCTCCCTCCCTCCCTTCCTCCCTTCCTTCCTTCCTTCCTTCCTTCCTTCCTTCCTTCCTTCCTTCCTTCCTTCCTTCTGTTTATATGGCCACCATCTCATAGAAACAACTTTAATAAACCTCAGCTACTTCTTGAACAGAAATTTGAGCTGTATTTATTAAAAATGTTACATCACTATGATACACTGAAGCTAAAAATAAACAAAGAAAACAACCATTGCACTGTACTGTTGGTCACTCATTTATGATTCACCATATAAATTAATTAACTAAAATGGATTGCTTTTGTGTTAAATAGATAAAAGGCTGCAACTGCAATTTTAAATTCCCAGCAAAAACAAACAGGTGAAATATCTGCACCTTCTTTCTCATCAATAAGATACTGCTATTAATAAATAAGAACTTTGAAATGCCTTTTAAATTTTGATTGGGCCATTAATATTTGAAAAGGGCAGTTTATAAAGCAAGTAACCAGAAATGCTAGCAAAACCCCAAAGGATTCTGAAAATGGGAAGGTGTTCTATTTATACACCACTGAAAAGGCCTCCTATTTATTGAAGCTCTACTTGACTTATTCAACTTTTTATTTTCAATACTTCTCGCACATTTCTATTATTCATAATTGATAAACTCACCTTATACCATACATATTATAGGGGTTGCTTTATATTTAGTTTTGTCACTTAATTTTATCAACGACATGTATCGCATAATGCTTCAAGTAAAAGTATAGTTTCGGTTTTCTCAAAAGATAGATTGGATTTGATAGCCAACTATAATTTAATTGCTATTATTTCTTCTTTGCTGTGCTTCTCTTGTTTATATGCTATTCTTTTCACATTGAGCTGCTTTACATTATTCGTGGTTGCCTTCAGTGGGCTAAATGAAATTCTTCATGGGCTGCGCAAGAGTGAAAGTGGTTTCAATCACTGAAACAGAAGATTTTAAGATAAGGTCTTTTTTGTACATTATTGGAGTGCTAAGATTTCTATTTCAATGTGGTCGAATCCATAAAATATTTGAAATCAAAATGTACATAATGAAGAGGAGATGTGGTACATAGAATGATATTATAATTATAATATTATAATATTATATTATTATAATACTATATAACTCTTATAGAATTTATTACATAGACCTGTGCAAAGAGACTAAAGTTAGCTTTGACAACATGATTCAGGCAGTCTGCTTGGTTTTGCTAAAGTGAAGAGGCCATTCCAGTTGTTTCAATGAAATGGTTTGAATGCCTTGAATGACTTTGGGCCAGCACTTATCAGGAAAGTCTCCTCTCAGCTATGCCCGTCATCTACCTCTATTGCTGCCTACTAGCCTCCCTCCAGTCTGATAGCATCAGACCATCATATGCAGGATTGGAATAGGGCATTACTGGCTAAGATTGGAGTAAGGCATTACTGGCTAATGCATTGCAGAGGATTTGAACATACATATATTTAAAATATATTTTTTAATATGAATAGAATGGCTTGTCTTGAGAAACTGTTTCAGATGCTTTCAGTGCTGCCAACCATGATATACCTCTGGCTCATCTCTGAATATTGGGAGTCTGGGGCATGGTTTTGTGGACCTTCTTCTTTCTTTGTGATCAAATCTAGTTGTGGGGGGAGGAAGAGATGAAGTCCTAGGACTTCATCCCAGGCCTCTAATATGTGTGGTCTATTAGAACTGTTACCCCTTTTTTAAACATCTACATGAGATTATTAAGTGAGGTCAACTTCTATTTGGATCAAATATGAGCAATATGTTACGATACCCATTTGTAACTCTCAACCTCAGGCTGATCGGATGATGTTATCAAAGCCTTGTCCCATTGTCTCAGGGCTGGGTGGTGGAGGCACATGGAGAGAAATAACTTTAACGTCAACGCTGACAAGATTGAGTAGTTGTGGGGTTTTGAGTCATGTCAGGAATGCTGTACAATTTGCTTGAGGAACAGGTGGCAGCTGTAGTTAAAAGGATATTCACCACATCCATCTTTTGATAGAACTGTGCTCCCATCTAAAGTAGAGGCCCTTTCAGACAGTCACTCATGATTTGGTCACCTCATATATGGAGTATTGCAATATACATTGGATTCAAAATGTTACACTTCTTTCACTTAAATAAAAATGTAATTTCAGAGTAAAAAACAAACATATTTGCTCTAGTGTCAGTCCAAGGGGAAAGCTAAGTCATCTCTTATGAAAAGAATTGATGTTCAATCTAATTAAATTTGTGATGCTAAAGACTAATTTCTCCAGGGAGTCAAAAATAGGAGTTCAGTTAGATACATAATTAATTGATTATGTGCCATCAAGTCAGTGTCATCTCTAAATAGATGAACTTTCTCCAGGATGATCTGGCCCTAACCTTACGCTAGGTTTTTCAACAATGCACTCAATGCCACTATAAAAATCTGTCCATCTTTCTGCTAGTTCTCCTGCTTTCCATCTTTCACAGCATTATGATCTTTTCAAGGGAAACAGGTCTTTGCATAAGGTGCCCAGAATACAATATTTCTGCCTAGTCATTTGTGCCTTAAATTAGAACTCTAGAACTTGTTCAGTGATTCTTTAGTTTGAATTCTTGGCTACCATGGTATTCTCAGATGGTTTCTCCAACACCAAACTTCAGAAGATCAATATATTTTTCTCTCCTAAGTATATACATGTCAACTACCGTAAATACGTTTTCAAAGCTTTCATTGCATTCCTACTAGTACTAGTCTATGGCGTAGTTCAGTGATGGCGAACCTTTTAGAGACCGAGTGCCCAAACTGCAACCCAAAACCCACTTATGCATCGTCGGGTGCTGGGTGGGTGTGGCCCATTGAGTGGGTGTGGCCCATTGGGTGGGCGTGGCTGCGGTGGTAACAGCAGACTGGGTGGGACTAAAAAGTTCAATCAATCAATTCCAACTTTGCAAGATCTTTTTTTTTCCCCATGAGAAGTTGAAATTGACTGATTGATTGAAACTCTTTTTTTTTGCACACGGCGGCGGAGGCCTAAAGCGAAAAGGTTTTATAAAACCCAGCTGAAGGCCTAGGACTGGGGCGACGGCGCGCATGTCCACAGAGAGGGCTCTGACTGCTGCCTCTGGCACTCGTGCCATAGGTTTGCCACCACTGGCGTAGTTCTTGACTGTTGCACACGGCAGTCTTCAAAAACAGAAGCTATCAGTATGAATTTTAATTCTGATTGCTTTACCTGTTCTCACTGATTCGTTTTTTTATATCTTAAATATTAGTGCCATTTTTCACAGCATACCCTGACTTTCATTAGTAAACATCCCAGATTATTTGTACTTTCAGCTATCAGAGTAATGTCATTAGCATTGTTCAGGTTATTGATCAGCTGGGTCAGCTAAATTATCACACAATTCATGACAGATACATGAGCCAGTCTTTTTTTTTTTTTGATTTCTCTTATTGAATCCCTTTCTGCTACCAATATTATAGTATCTTAATATTTAAATATAAACAAGAGACACATATAACTGTGATTGAGAAGTATGACTTATTGATTGATTGGTGTAGGCCAATATGATATAGTAGCTAGGGGATCTGTTTGGAAAGATTCCAGTTCTTATCCATTTCCTGAGACAGTCTTATATCTGCCTTTTTATCTTACCCTACTTCAGAAGCTGCTTCAAAGGATAGGGTTATATAGTCTGTATTAAATATTTTGGTGGAACGGAAGACTACGAATATAATAAATAAAATATTCCACATTCAGGACATGTTGCTACTGCTGCTGACAATGATGACAGCAACGACAAAAGGCTTCAATACATTGAAAAGCATTTTAAAATGATTCTAGGTTGTAAAACATGTCATTATTCAGAAGCATTTTTTAAAATGAAGAAGCCTAATTATAGAAGCAGCTTTTCCGATGACATGTGAAATGAGAGATCTGAGGTTGGAGGAACACAAGTTAAAAGAGATTCTATGTTTGTGTTTATGTTTGTGTGTGTGTTTTCTAGGAATTGCGATGGAGAAACATGTATGGACACAAGTGATATCTTATATGCTTGGGCAAGAAATGCACCACCAACAAGATTACCAAAAGGTATGAGATCTTTTGTAATATAGCATTCTACACAAGATGTAATAATAGGAAAAGCAATTTATGTTACATTACTGCACTAATTTATGTATTACTCTAATAGTAGTGAATATTTTTACTCAGACAGTTAGACTTTCAGAGAGTCAAATTGCTCACTTAGCAATTTACTATAAAAAGGGGTGTTTGGGAATTTTTTCCACTTTTTTTTTTACTTTTAATGTATAGCTGAACGCATTATGTAGTACATCTTCCTGCTGATTTTTTTTTCTTTTATCTGCAGTTGCCAATAACTTTTATGGCTAATAAATTATGAAAAATTAGTAAATCCATTTGGCTTGCAGCAGGATATGTCAAAAAGATTTTCAAAATCTTGTATTATAACAGTAACTTTTCATGTTCCCATGTTATAAAACAAATAAAAATAAATAAAAAATAAGTAAATCATATATGAACTAGGATATCTCACCATTTCTATTTGATTTTTGTTCTTCTTAAGATTGAGATAATACAGAACTATCAAGTAGAACTATCTATTGCAGTATTTATTTTCCTTGAAGGACGTACTTTAGGTTTCTTCAGCGAATATAAGTGCAAAATGTTGCTTTTGTATATTAAATCTTTAAAATAACGTGCTCCTTACTTTAGGATTTTTTACATTAAGGATATGCTTGAATATAATTATGTGAGTTTCACGTTTTCTTCCTCCTCAAGGTGTTGGGTTTAAAGTTGGAGGAGAAACGGGGAGCAAATATTTTGTTCTCCAAGTCCATTATGGGGATGTTGGTGCATTCAAAGGTATGTAAAATCTTTACTCTTGCTCTTATGAGTAAGATAAATAAAGGAACTAATTTGGTCACTGAAGTTCCATCAGTAATGAAGTCATAAATGTGCCTACTATAGGATGGCAGAGCTTCCTTTATTAAATAAATTTAGAATAAATCTGTCAATAGGCTAATACACTAGATTTCCAAAATTACTTTGGTTTCACAATGGAACTTTTATAACTGGTGATGTCACAGTCTCTGTCTTGCACCTCTCACTGCATAATTAAGAATGCAACAAGATTCAGTTTTGAGTGCTAGTTAACATGGCCTCCTCTGATATCTATAAACACATAATCCTTGAGGATTTCCATTGAAGTTCTTGAGCTTCTCCCTGCTATCTCCTCCACATTGAGATTTGGACAGGAGAGATAGCAAGAATATCTTCTTGGAACTGGGGCAGGACAGAATGGATCCATTTCATCTTAAACTCGGTAAATTTAAGTAACCTTTTTTTAAAAAGAAAGATAAATTTTAAGTACTCGTTACAGTGCTTTTCTTTTTTTAAACTGTTAACTAGTCGTCTGAAATCATGATGGTAGAGTAATTAAATTGAATAAAATTAAATTGATGTTAAATTAAGAAAGGTTTATGTTTATTCACTATATTTCTGTTAGACTCTTTGAATCTATTTCAGTTTTGCAAATATTATAGACCATTTTGGTAGTTTGTTAATGTAAATCTCATAGTTGTGACAGCATGCCATTGCAGCACATTTCAGTAATGATTGCATCTTGTGTCTGTGGGTTTAAGTTTTAGCAAGTGAAAATGGATTCCGATTTATAAATGCCAAAGACTCTGCTTGATAAGAGCAGCAAATCAGTAATTCATAGTCACTGTTAGCTCAGTTGAAATTAATTTCAACTGCACTTAGATAATATTTTGTAGATTACTTATCTCTCTCTCCCCCTTTCAATTCTCTTCAAGGCTAAATTGCATTAAGGTGTTTATAGTAGAGTCTTTATTGTTCTTTGCAACATGTTCTCTGATCCATGTAATTATACCTAGTTAACATACATGTGATTTTCTTCTTCCAAAATAATCTGATTATTTTTTTTGTTCATTTTGATGTTTATGTTTTATTCTGTTTTTAAACAGCTCCAATTTGTTTATAGTAAAAATACATTCCAATGAAGAGGTTATAAAGGACTGGAAAAATTAGACATAGTTTTAAACCTATGTTAAATTCCACTCTCAGTAAATTTTTGCCACAGATAATCTTGATTATTCCTGAAAAAAATTAGGCGATGTTGAAACTATTATTATTTGAATGGGAAACAGCTGAAACTTCTAGACTAAAAAAATTAACCATTTCCATATTATTGCCAAGAAAATTACAGTCATCATGGGACATTACCTCAATATTTCCAGCTGTTTAATTTAACAAAGTGTGTGAAACAGTCATCATGGGACATCACCTCAATATTTCCAGCTGTTTCATTTAACAAAGTTTGTGATGCACGACACTATTTCTTTATTCAGGGGCAGGTCTTCATAAGATTCATTAGGTCTTCGTCATAGGCTACATTGGCAAAACTGCAAAAGAAGATCAAAATCTATTGTATCATAAGTATTAACTTAATTAAAAACTTAGTTTTGCTTTAAATGGCCATTTCCTAATCTTTGAAATGTGCATTTATAAATATATCTTAGATGTGCATCTACAAACATTCCTCCACATGCTTTCATACATTATGTAGCAAGAGATGACATTTAAGATAAACTTTTAAGTAAACATTTTTATCATTTTCTTATTTGTGACTACATTTGCCCTGTATTTTTGTCTAGTTTAGAATAGTCAGTAACAAATGATTTTATTAACACTGGGTACATTTATCACTACTTCCATGTGTAATATTTCACAAATAAGTTAGGAATCGAAAATTGCTTTCTATTTCTTCTGGGCTTTTTAAAAAACATAACCATGGTACGATAAGTGGGTTTTAGGATTTTTTAGTTTTATAAGCCTTTAATGTATCGTTTGAGTGGCAGTTACCATTTATTTTTTTTAGTGATCAAAGAATCAGGAGCTGATACTCCTATCACAATGGATTTTGCTATAGAGAGTCTGCAGTTCAGAAGTGCTATTAAATCCACAGTAGTAAGCATAGATTCTTGTTTGATCTCTGTTGGAAACGCTGCCTAGAGAATCAGCTTGAAAGAAATCTGCTTCCGAGAGTAGGTTGAATACATTTTCCACTCATTGCCATAGGGCAAATAGAAGCTAATAATTCACTTGTTCTAATGGCATATATACTTGCTGTCTAACTGAAATGCAAAAATCAAAGGAATTATCCTAGACTGAGAGGCAAATGGGGACGAACATATGCTCTATACGGCTCATTGTGTTCAGGCAACCCGTATAGCATATGTAGTACTTGCTAAGAAAGGAAATTTTATGATCTTGTTTTTTCCAAGACAAAATTGGTTAGACATTGCCATTTTTGAAAATAGAGGCATAAGAACTAAAAAAATGGGCCATATGTTGAAATTCTGTTAGAATATTTATATATCATATTATTTAATATAGGAATGTGTTAATTGCAAAAATTAAAAAACTGTTACGCAAAGCTGAAGATTTTATTTTGCATTAGAACAGCAGGCAATTTTTTTGAAGTAGGGAAGCTATATGGATTTAGAGGTAGCAATTATTTCCCTGGGGTTTTGACTTGTGAATTTAGTTTATTCACATATTGTTTTTATTTACTACAGATGAAAATGTGATAATGATGGCTTGTGAATTCTGCAATCTTATAATTTTGGGAGAAGTAAATTTCACAAAATAGCAATAACATATGATTTTTACCTCCTTAGAAATCTCCCACAATGTTGTTTCATAACTACTGTGTTTGTTTTGAATTTATTTAATGAATTAAGAATTGAAATATATGAATGTTTTAATCTACAGAAAATGTGTGTATAACATTCCCTATTCCAATGCTGTTTATGTTTCTCATACCATCTGCCCTTTCTGGATCAACAATGCCTGACCACATCTAGAAAAACAATCCAGTTCTTTGCTTGGCTAAAGATAATGAGTTGCTCTTGGCAAATTATAATCAGTCAATGGAACATCTCTGACTTAGTAAAATGAAACTCAACTACTTCACAGGATTGTTTTAGGATGAAATAAGAAAAGTTATAATGTGATCTGCGTTTTCTAAAAGGAATTCTAATTTCCTATATCTCTGTAATGATCTTCCTTTCTCATTTGCTTTTCTGAGCTTTTCTCTAACCAGTTAACTGTTTATGTTCTAGCTATTTAAAGAATTTTCTGTAAAAAAATATTGTCTCCTAAAGCAATCCGCATGTTTAAAAGATGAGGAGAAATACCAAAAGTTTATAGTTTAAAAAGACAAGAACCTCAAAGTAGGGACTAAAAAAAGAGATTCTTTAGCCCTCTCCTTTGGACTTCTTGTCTTTTTAGATTATAAATATTTGGTTTTCATATTGAATATTTCCAATAAGCAATTATCTAGTCATCTATTCAATACTAACAAGAAATTTTAATATTTTTGCAGATAAACACAAAGACTGTTCTGGAGTGACTTTACATCTGACTAATCAAAAGTAAGTATCTTTCATGTAGTTTCTTAAATATTTTCTCCAATTCTTTTGCAAGGATTAATATGAACTTTAACAAAATAAAATTCTAGTGATAGTTCAGGTACATCCTTTAACAAGACAGATTATTTAAAGTGACTTGATAATATAATTCTAAAATTGTAGAAAGGCAATTTTGAATAAAGTATATTGTCTTTTCCATCTTGAAAAATAAATATTTGACTTTTAATATGTAGCCAAAGTAAATATTCTTTGGAAAGGATTACCAATTACTACTTTTTTATCTTTAGCTTTCAGTGAAAAAGGTTATTTAGCACAAATCTAGTTTTACTACTCATTGCTGCTTGATTATGAATTGTTCTTTAATCCCAGTTTCTTTAATGATATAACATGGCCAAATAGCTGTTTTCTTTTAAAACAAACAGCTAGCCATACAGATTGGGTAGATTCAGTTAAAGTTGCTTTGTTATTAGTAGAGTAAAAATATAGTAAGTCATAAATCAGGGCAATATATGTAAATTTGATATGGGGTTCTTCTTTTTCTTTTAAAGACAGCCTCTGATTGCTGGCATGTATCTTATGATGTCCATGGATACTGTTATACCGCCTGGAGAAAAAGGTGAATAAATACGTCCACCCAGCTGTCCCTCAGTCTTTGCAAACTTTTCAGTGGAAACAGTATAACACTTACTGGTGTGGACTTTTTATACTAAAAGCTTTATTAGAAGAATATTAGAACAAGTTACGATACTAGTTTCTTTGATTATCATATCAGAACATGAACATTGCAATTTAAGAAAAAGTATCAAATTGTGATAATTACTGATTTCTAAATGCATTTTATTATTATTACATAGGGACTACAGGGTTGAAAAAAGGGAAAATATTCCTTTAATCAGTACTTTTTCCAATTTTCATTTTTTTTTTAATGATGGGAATATACATAAGTACGGACTTGTAATCAGACATAAAGGGAGCTGCATTACTAAAATTCTAATGCTTTAGGTATTTATTTTAGTTTTAAGTCATCATACACATACACATTTACAGAGAAATTAGTGAGCCTCCGAAGTATTTCTGCATAATCAAGGAACAAATCATACAGTGTACAATATACTATCTTTAATTTCTCTTAATTATTATCCAAGTTTCACAATAGACTATAACTTCCAGTTAATATGGCTCAGCTTCAGGGTTCTCTTGTCTCATTGGCTGCAAGCAAAAGACTGAAGACTTTCACTTCCATGGTTAAGTAGCCTTACCATAGACCCCATATTTGAAATTGTACTTAATATTTACAGTGATATTCTGAATCAATTCAGTTTCATGGGTTTTAGACTTCTCTTCCTTATACTGGGCATTCCCAGATTTGTTGAACTCTCCAGCCTCTCTCCCATTCCTATCCCACATTTCCTAATCTTGGACTCATATTTCTAAAATACTGAGGATTTTTAAAACCTCAAAACAGCATACTTTGCTAAGAAATATCTGTTTAACATTTATCTGCAAATAGAATCCTCCCTCCCCCAAACCCGCTGATATAATTCCATGCACTTGTGGATTGATTGATTGATTGACTCTGCATGGTAAGAACAGTATTATGCATATGAATATATGAATACATGCTTCTTCAGTTAATCAAGCACTATAGCCATTAATGGCAAAGCATGAATGAAACACCATGCAAAGATATTTGTGGATATATGCAAGAAAAATTTCTGCCCACAGCCCTGCTGGAACTAGTATATTGCCAAATATTTCATTTAACTTTGCAACCATAGTTCTCATTGTCTTCAATGTGTAAGCATAATTTTTAATGTCCTTCATATCTGTTTTCTAACAGTGGTGAATGCAGATATTGCGTGCCATTACAAAATGTATCCAATGCATCCATTTGCTTATAGAGTGCACACCCATCACTTAGGTAAGTCTTTACATTAATTGATAATTTTCTTTCCTTGGTAGTTTATGTCTAATTCTTAAAGCCACTTTTGGACATCCTGAGTGAGATAGTAATACCTACTGAATGTTATGAGATGGAATTGGATTGTTATTATTAACTGTAATGTAAATTATTCTATAATATCTACACTACACACACACACACGGACATACACACATAGTGTATCACACATGCATATTAATTTTACTTAAAACTGAAAAATGTTAGGGCAGGAATCCTCTTAAATGCATCTGCTAACTATCTGGTCCAGATTGATAGATATTCATATTACTTAGTATACAGTTTCTGTATCTGGGCTGCAGAAATCCAGATAAACACTAAATAGTAGTAAAGCGATATGATGATCCACATTTAATGACTAAACATTCAGTGCTCATTCAGATTTTTGATGATGTTTAAGAAGTGCTACATATAGTCAATCATCAAAGTTCCAGCTGTTGTGCACTCCTGTGGTTTTATGATCATAGTCTAGGCCAGAGGTAGGCAATCTTGGCTCTTTTATGACTCGTGGACTTGAACTCCAGGAGTCATAAAAGAGCCAAGGTTGCCTACTCTTGATCTAGGCGCTTTATAACCAGAGGGGATTTCTGACTGTCACTGCATTCCACAGTCACATGACCATAATTTGGGACCTTCTCTGCCAACTTTCTGCTAGCAAAGTGTGTGGGGAAGCCAGTCCTGATCACTGTCAGTTGTTAAGCGAAGATTTCACTTAACAACTCACAGTGATTTGCTTAACAATGGTAACTGGGGATTGCCAGAACTGCCATCACTAAGCTTTATGACCACACCACTTAATGATAGATATTTCACTCCCAATTACTGTCATTAAGTGAGGAGTAGCTGTGCAGAAAATCCTTACTATATGCATTTACTGGTTGTTTGGTTATTTGCACCAGATACAATTGTCCTAACTGAGGGAAGCTAATGGTATATGAAGCCAGTGAGGTAGTACTTTTATTAGAGTCAGCCACAAAAATCACTATATAATGATTTCATTGTTTTGTTACACTTAAACTAACCCTAAGTGGGCTGGTCCAGAATTTTTCCATGAATGCAGTTCTGCCAGTATAAGTTTTAGACAGATGGTACAAATGCCAATTTAACTCTTTTAGAATTTTATTACAGTGATTAGGTGATTCAAAATATTGATAGTACAGATTTTTTGAAGACAGGTTGTCAGAAATAATTGTAACATAAAAGTATAAACAACTACTATATAATTGATGTATAATAATACAAATTTTATCCAATTAATTACGATAGCTTTTTATAAGTTAATCTATTAAATGTTATCATATTATAAAATCTTACGCACTGCAATATGAATATAAGTATGTGGGGATGATCTGTGCATTTCTAAGGAGGAAAACATAGAGAGAAAAATCAATGATCCAAACCTTTAGCATTGTCATATGGTTTAAATGGTGAACTTGTAAAGTATTTTTTGTTATTTCTGCATATTTATTTTGCTAAAAAGTGAAATGGTTTAAATCCATAGAAGGTTTAAATCCATAAAATGTGTTTATTTACAAAATAAATAATTTTTGTTGCAGGAAAAGTAGTAAGTGGGTATCGAGTTAGAGATGGTCAATGGACACCGATTGGCCACCAAAGTCCTCAACTGCCACAGGTATGTTTACTTGCATTTTAAAGCTATCTTGAGTTAATGTGCTTCACTGTGAAAGGATAATTATAGTACTCTGTTTTCTTAAAATTTAATGGACAGGTGAATAGTTAGAATATAAAAGTAAACAGGAGAATCATCATGATAGAATGATTAAAATGTTGGAAAAGGAATGGGGAAAATAAGGTTCTATACTCAGTTTTGAAAGGTCACTAGAAGACTTTGAAATGGCCCTCCTTTCTCAGCCCTTTCCATCTCACAGAAATGTTGTTGTGGCAAGAAAATATGTTTTGTTACTATAATAGGTAGTTTTTTGGATTCAAAGAAGATATGCTGCTGTAAATTCATTTGTGAACACTGAGGTGGCTCTGCTGTCCCAGGCTGAAAGCAGTTTTTGGTGGTGCCTGGCTTTGAAGCTACTCCAGGCTTCATAGCATAAGGCTTGCCAGAGGATTGTGTCAGCAGCCGCAGCTTCTAGTTCCTGTCACAGTAGTGCCAGGTTTCCTTCATAGCATCTTTGTAGCACTTGTATGGATGACCTCAAAGTCTCTTCAATCTCCAGTCCACCATAGAACAACTGGTGAGGCATGCCATAGTTGTCCATTCCAGTGATGTGTCCCACCCACCATCACATTGGGTCTCTGATAATCAGGGAATCAGTGCTGGTGAACTCCATGCAATTCAAGACCTCCAGGTTGGAGACATGATCATGCCAACAGATGCCAAGAGAAGAATGTGAAATTTGTCATGTGTCATAAGTAGTGTCCAGAACTCACATCCACATGTGAGAGAAAGGGTGACCACAGCTCTGAAGACTTTCAGCTTTGTGGAGATGCAGACATTGGCCTTGTTGATCCCAGAGTCAATTTCTTTGTCCAAGGACTTTGCCTAAAGACAAAATTAAATATAAGCACATTACCCAATAAAAATACTTTATTATTACTAATGTCACTAAATCAGTAGTTGCAGATTAAACCTAAAAAAATTAAAATGGCACATTAGATAATAGTTTGAATTGATTTTAACCTTATATAAATGATGGACAAAAATACTGTCACAGGCAGCCATTAATATCCATTAATAATTTCTCAAGTGTTTTAGCTGACCTTTTATCTTACATCAGGCTCCAAGATAAGGGAAAATGGATGAGCATCACTGAAGAAAAATAGAGACCAAACGCTAGAGGATTTTTTTCTTTTCATACTACGAATGTCTGTATCTCTCATTCTGCTTCTCTTACTTCCATTTTTGCAGAGGGTATATGAGTAAGCTACCCAATATGCAATGTAAGAGACATTGCAGTATTTCCATTTTTTCTGTTATTTGTGTAGCCAAATTTTGAGCTAGAAAGACTGTTTTTTGTCACTTTACTCAGAAATAAGCACCACAGTGAGAGAAATTTTCAATTATAGGATATTTATTTATTTATTTATTTATTTTATTAGACTTATATGCCGCCCTTCTCCCAACAGGACTCAGGGCGGCTCACAGCATATTAAAACGATACAAATACTATCCCCAATAAAAACCAATTAAAAACAAATATTTACCGCTGTGTTACCATTAAAATTCTAATTAAAATTGTCCCTATTTAAAATTCTCCCTAGGCCAGACCCGCTTGCTGAAAAAGCCATGTCTTGAGGGCGCGGCGAAAAGATAGGAGATCCGGAATCGTCCGGATCTCGGGGGGGTAGTTCGTTCCAGAGGGTGGGGGCACCCACAGAGAAGGCCCTCCCCCTGGGGGTCGCCAGCCGACACTGCTTGGCCGACGGCACCCTGAGGAGGCCCGCTCTGTGGGAGCGTACTGGTCTGTGAGAGGAAATCTGTGGCAGAAGGCGGTCTCGGAGATATCCAGGTCCGATGCCAT